CGACATCGATTTGAAGCACGAGAGGAGAGCATGGCCTACAGAGCGACATGGTTGGTAGAGGGCGAGGCAAACTTCTTCAGGACAGCGGACGATACCCAGGGACACAGGTGAATTAGAGTAACAACCAGCGAAATGACGTTGGTTACTTGACTGTTATCTTTGAGCGTCTGCAGAGAAATTCGTAGCGTTGACCACAGCTAGACTTCCCGATAGTCACATCTATGCATCGCCCACCGGTATCAAACACTGATGTTGCGTTCTCGTGACAGGTGGTGCTGTATAGTGGTGCTGTAAACACCACACATATACCGCATTGCTCCACGCAATTCAGACGATTATCTCAATTGTCGTAAGCATCGCATGCCGATTTGTGGTCGCTCTCGGCTTTGCCCGCTATTCTCTGCTCATTTGTGGTCCTTTCGGTCTGGAGATGAAGGGTGGGCCTATTGTCACGCCACCCCAACCTCACTCATCAGCAGTGCTTGGCTGTTAGTGATGAGCTCGTGATGCGCCGACAAAACCACCCTCCCCTTATTAAAACGGAATGTTCGCCCTTGGAGAGCATTCCAAGGCCCTCATCATTCATCAAACAAAACAAAGTCTACAACATTACCAACCTACATCAGTTGCATCTCAAACATACGAGTTGCCAAGTCTTACCACTTAGAAGACTCCAAACAACACATCACATCACCTTTTAGAGCGATCTACCAACCAAAAAAAAACGAAAAACAACAAAATGATCCTCTTCGAAACAACCGAATCTGTCGTCGAAATCCTGTGGGATGTCGCCTTGGCCTTCTTCATCTCCCGCCTCGCGCTGATCTACTTCCTCCTCAATTTTGTCTCCGCCCTCGCACTGAGCTACCTCGTCTTCTCGGCGCAAACGCCAGTCACCCACCTCGTGACTTGGCAAAACCCCGAGATGTTGCTCCCATTTCTGCTAGGAAGTGCGGCACTCTGGGCCAGACTTTTGATTGTGAGGTACGAGATTCCGAGGTCGGGGCCATTCAGGTTGGGAATAGGGGCTGTGGCGCTGGCGTTGATGGTATTTGTGGAGGCGGTGGTGGCGTGGGTTGGGTATGAGGAGGGATGGTGGGTTGGCGGGAAGGGGAGCGGGTGCAGGATATGGAGCGTGGCGGGGCCGTGGTTGGCATGGTATGCGCTGTTACCGTTTGGGATGATGTTTTTGGAGAGGAGGGAGGAGGCAGAAGCAGCTGTGAGGGCTGTGCCGGAGGTTAGGGAGAAGAATTGAAGGACGATGTTGGCTGGGAATTTTGGAGGTGAAGGCTGGAGGATTTGAGACATGCGACAGGTCGAGGCAGGTGGCTGAGAGCTGCCAAGGTGGATGGGAATTTGTACGCGGAGTTTATGATTGACGACAGGATTCTGGAGCTGAAGCTGGATACTCAGTACAATAAACACTTTGGAAAGGAATGAATCCTTCAACACACAACGATTCTCGTTCAAAGATGGGAACTACGCGGGTGCCGAAAATTAACAGGTTGATCCTTCCCCGAAAGCACGCCACCATCAGCAGAGCGGGAGGCGGGGTCATGCAGCAGAGCGGCAGCGTTGCAGTGCACGACGGGTGCTAGCGGGCCCCGCTACCCAGATCATGCAACCACTACCGAGAGGTGGGTTGCGATGGCGATGCTTTGATCCATCTCCAACATCAACTTCAGCTTGGAATTCCCGACGGCCCGGTGGCCAGTTTCTCAGCATTGCGCATTGAGGAAACAATGAGCATCTGCCGAACGCCACGTTGACGATCGAAACAGGATTTTCGTCGTCTCAACTTTTCCCGGACACCGTTGCGAGAAAAAACAAGAACAAGGAACTCGAGCTTCGATCGATCCAATCTCAAGCTCCCGATTTCCGCTTCAATTCGACGACTGGCGGCCGCCGAAGCTCATGGAAGCCCACCTTCGGAGAAAAGGACGGCAGCGTGTTCCCCTGCTTCGGCTTCGCACAAGCTTAAATTGCCGAATGCATATCGGAGCCATCAATCGCAGCGTGGCCGAGCTCATCCTCGCATCAACATCTTGATTGTTTGAATATCCGGCTCGCCGGCCTGTGGGCTCGACTTCACCCGCGCTCTTCTCCCGCGTCTTTTTCTCATCTGTTTCACCTATAAGTTGTCTTCAGTATAGCTGACAATTGTTCTCTCCCCTGAATCCTCCCAATTTTCTTTCTGCGGTTCTGCCCTGCCAAGATGAGATCACCGTTATTTTGGCATGTTTCTCCACGTTGTTTCCCCTCTGCTTCCCCGGGCCGGTGCTCTGACTGCGCCTCTCAGCCTAAAGATAGGCTGGATGAATATACCATATTGAATCCGTTGCTGAGTATCTTTCTTGATCGGGGCCTAGATCGGCTCTGGAATTATGGAGAAGCTGGCATGACGGTTCGTCCGTACATTAGGAGCAGAGAGCCCCCAAGCGGATGGGCCTAGGCGGATCCGACAGCTAGCCTCCCATTCCACTGCTCTGCGACAGTGTCTGAGGTTGGTGAGCTGGCCCGCCGCCGAAAGAGCTTCTTCGATACATTCCTTACACGGGCGTTTTGGCGAGTCGCGACAGGGACAATTCCTTAAAGCTCCACCACTTTCTTAGGTTGAACGCTGCTCTTTGCGTGTTCTCCCCATTCTGTCCTTACTACGCTTTGCTCCTGCTTAGCAGTCCTGGTTCAAGATGTTATCCAAAGTTCTCGTCGCTCCTTTGCTGCTGCTGGGTTCAGCTTCAGCAGCCCCAGCCTTACAAAAAGACGATGTCGCTGTAGCCTATACAGTCGTCACTGTTACTTCGACTAAAACGGTTTGCCCAGAGTCAACCCATGGTGTAGCTCCGTTGGCCATCCCCCACGCTCCTGGTCCCCAAAGCCAGCCGCATCATCAGCCTCATAACCAGCCGCACAACCAGCCGCAGAACGAACCGCAGAACCAGCCTCAGAATCAACCTCAGAACCAACCTCAAAGTGCTGGACATCCTAAGGGAGGCTACAACAATGCCCTCTACTTCACCAACTGGTACGTTTCCATCCTATGTCGACGTGTTGCATGGTATTGACAGTTCTCAGGGGAATCTACGGGGCAGACTTTCAGCCTCAGCAGCTCCCTGCTGACCAGATCACTCGCGTTTTGTACGCCTTTGCGGACATTGCGGCTGATGGTGAAGTGTAAGCCACGAATGGTCATGCCCTGGCGCCGAGGATACGAGCTAACTCCCGGCAGGAAATCGTCAGATGGATACTCTGACTTCCAGAAGCATTATCCCAGCGATTCATGGAACGACCAAGGCAACAATGCGTATGGCTGCATCAAGCAACTATTCCTGCTGAAGAAAAAGCACCGTCACATGAAGGTCCTGCTTTCCATTGGCGGCTGGACGTACTCACCCAAGTTCCCTCCGATTGCCGCCACGGAGGCAGGGCGGCAGAGGTTTGCTTCCTCAGCGGTCAAGCTTGTACAGGGTATGTTTCGGTGCGCGCCAGTCTCTTTGTTCTAGTGCTGACTGCCCACCACAGATTGGGGTTTTGATGGTCTCGATATCGACTGGGAATACCCGGCCAATTCTGCAGAGGCACAACACTTTGTTCTCCTCCTCAAGGCGTGTCGCCAAGCCCTTGATGCCTACGCTGCCCAACATGCACCTGGATATCACTTCCAAATTACCATTGCCGCCCCTGCTGGCTCTCAGCACTATGCCATCATGGACTTGGCCGCCATGGATCCGTATATCGACGGCTGGCACCTGATGGCTTATGACTACGCTGGCTCATGGGACTCGACTTCTGGCCACCAGTCCAACCTCTATTCCAACACCAACAATCCGCAGAGCACCAAGTTCAGCACCGAGCAAGCCATACGCGACTACGTTTCTCGCGGTATCCCGGCGCACAAGATTGTTCTTGGTCTACCCCTGTATGGCCGCTCGTTCGAGGCCACGACTGGTCTCGGTCAGCCCTACAACGGTATCGGCCAGGGTTCCCTGCAATCCGGGGTGTGGCTCTATCGCGACCTCCCACGCCCCGGCGCGCAGGAGGTCTACGATGATGTGGCCAAGGCCAGCTACAGCTACGACTCCAACAAGCGGGAGCTCATCTCATACGATACTGTCTCCAGTGCTATCGCCAAGGCGCAGTATTTGGTCGGCCGAGGTCTCGGCGGCGCTGTCTTCTGGGAGGCGAGCGGTGATAAGAAGGGCAGTCAGAGCTTAGTGGGTACCTTAGCCCAGCAGATGGGGGGCCTGGACGTGTCTCCGAACCTGTTGTCGTTCCCGGCCAGCCAATACGCCAATATTCGCGCTGGTATGCCCGGCGAGTAAACATCCTTCAGTGGCGCAGATGAGTATTCGATTCTTTGTTAGTCACTCACAGACTGGTCTGATGGGCGATTGACCCCTTTTCAACCCTTGGGATGATTTGATGGTTTTGCAGTTGCTTACTTTTCTTCTTTTATTTCATCGGGGACAGGTCGGCTTGGGGAAAACATTGGCTGTATATATCCATCCACTCGCTCATGACTGGGATTTGGTGGCGTTTGCTTGTGCGTTTGTAGGAGTGGGTTGATTTGGTTAGGCTATTTGCATGTCGGGATTTGCATTTGATGGATACGACAAGATTAGATCTCACTCGCTTTATTGCTAGTACATATGATATCCCTGGGTTTTGTGCGGCTGATCTGAACAATAATGCTGTGATATCTGTATGAGATTGTCCTGTACAATTTAGAAGTAGGTGCCGGACATGCTTGTGCCGTAGTGACAGTGAGAGTCGAAAGCCTGGGTTTGGATAACCGCCCGTCGCAGTTATTCCAAAGAAGGGAAACCCCTCTACCATGTATAAGCTATACAATTCATTGAGCTCTCTCCCTTCAACCCAACTCAAGGCGTTATTCCCACCCTGCGTTTTGAACAACAGTCCGCAATTCCTACCTGCAACGTGCTGTGGGCGCCCAAGCCCTATGAGGGCTGCGGTTGGCCAAACACAATCATCAAATCCAATCCCTCGTGGCGCAACCGGATAGCGCGTCGGACTGTTATTTCTCCTCTGGGTATCTTGAAATCTCCTAGGAGTAGCAGGGTATCCGGAGGTTGTAAGCCCAAGCCTTACTGAGGGAGATTTGAGTACATTCTTTTTGGGACTTTACTTAGCTGTGGTGGAGTCGCTGGGAATGGTGGCATTGTTTGGTTGGCATTTTCATGTGCAGTGCTGAGGCAGGGTGCCGTCATTGAGCTCGTATTCTTTTAGCCTGTCTTCAGATGGCTTCAGTTTGATGGAGCCTCTGACTGATGTTTTGGTCAACACGGAATCGCCAGACTGCACGCCGGATGGGCTCCGACTAGATGCGCAGATTCTAGTATACGATGGTGAAGCGCTTTCCCAAAGACAGGAATAGAAATCCCATATACGCATCGTTTGATGTCAGTGCATCCCGGCGCCAACAACACGCATCCACCAGACTAAGGCAAGCGGCTGTTCAATGGGTGTCGCACAGTCTGCTCATCTTCGGAAGCAAACAGCAGATCCCAACATCGATTTCGGTAGACGCCGTGGAAGCGTCCAAAAGGAGGTGTGCGGACCAAACTGCAGGTGCTGGCCTCCCTAATTCATCCGGTCTTCTCTTTTAGCATTCCCCTGATGTGGGCGACGGCCGCCCATGCAGGCAAGGCGAGCGCTCTCGAGAGGGGTTGACAGGCTTTGAAGTTTCAAGGAGGTCGTCACGGCGATCGGGAGTCGAAGATGGTGCAGCACGGGGAGCCAGGGGTGGGCTGTCGAGAAGGGACTAGCGTGGGGATAATTCTCCGAGGATCATGGGGGTTGAGGAATTGGATGTTGCGAGATGGCAATTTTCGTCACAATAGCTTTCTGGAATGTTCAAAGGTGTCGATCACGACGGTTCTTGAGGGAAATCAATCGCTGGCATAATTTGAGTACACGCAATCGAAAGTTGTCGAAAAGTGTTGAAGCAAAAAGCCACGGCGTGACGCAAAACTCAGCGGATGTTTTGTTTCAATGAACAGCCAAGACCGGTTTGGGGCATTCTGGCTTTTGGTGTCGTCCCCACACGGGGATTTTGGTGCTATTAAGAATTTGGGGGGAAGACTGCAGTGGTGCTAACAGGGCAGCATCGCGTTGTGGCAGGCGAGTTTCAAGGTGACAGGGGCACGCTTCAGAGCCTCAGCTCGGGCGCCTTGGCAACAGGGGAAAATGTGGGGCGCCACGCCAAAGCATTGAGCGGGAGAACTGACTGCGCGCCACATCTTGATGCGACTGCAAGCTGCACCTCTGCCCATCACAGGCAGGTCCCGTTTGGAAGTCGATTCTGGCCTGTCAGTGGCTCGCCGGGAAGGGTTTGTTTCCTTCTGTCATGATCCCGGCTCCGGATCAGTGTCTTGAGACGGTGCCTAGCTCTCGGCGCGGTACCCCCGTTCGCCCCTGCCTCGTGCGGGCGCCCAAGGTACCGCCCTGTTTGGACGGAGGCCAAGCGGCAGTCTGTCGATGTTCCCAAGCTTCCAAGCCAAGATGACGGCGGGCATCATACCGGGCGTGTCGCGGATCTCGTGCCACACTATTCTGCCGCCATATATGCGATGCTGCCCACGCCCGGGTCTGCTCCGCTTTCCCCTCCTTCCCTTTCTTGCCATCTCTCTCTCTCTCTCTCTCTCTCTCTCTCTCTCTCTCTCTCTCTCTTCTTCGTGCGGGTTTCACTCTCTTTCTAATAATCCTTTTTTTTGCCTTCGTCGTTTCTTTCGTGACTGCAGGTCAGTGTAATTATTCTCGCAATTCTTTTCATCACCAACCTCAGTTGAGCGTCGAACGCCTTCCCGGACACGCCAGCTTGGCCTGGACGTACACACTCACTCGACTCCGAATTCCGACTCGATCCCGACGACACAATGTACCTCTCGACTCGCACTTTGGTGGCGGCCATTCTGGCGGTGACGGCACAGGAGGCTGCCGCACAGCAAGCAGGACTCCGACCGCTTCCCGGCTCCTTCGAGGCATCCAGTGGGACTTCATTAAGACCTCTTCCGGGACTCGCCAGTGCTCCCCCAGCAGCAGAGGCCGCCGTGACACCTCCGGTGGCTGTCGCCGCGCCGTCGGCCATTGCAGCAGCACCGTCCGTGGCCGTAGGAGCACCGCCTGCTGCTCTGCAACCCCTTCCTCAAGCCGGTGGGCCATTTTCAATCCAGACGGCTCCAGCTGGCACTTTGAGGCCACTTCCAGGTTTCCAAACGGGAGCAGCTGCTGGGAGCCTGCGGCCTCTTCCGGGTCTCGCAACTGCGGCGGTATGTTGGGTTCGAAAAAGGGTGGGAATTATCGTATGTTCTAACTTTTTGTGTAGCCTCCCGCAGCTATTGCTACTCCGCCGGCAGCCGTTATTTCAGCTCCTCCGGTGGCGGCGCTTCCACCAGCGGCTCCGCCAGTTGCTGCGCCCCCGGCACCCCCAGCGGCCGTCGCGCCCCCGCCTGTGGCTGTTGCGTCACCGCCCGCCGCTGTGCAGACGGGAGCCGGCGTTCAGTTCTTCACCCCTATCGGCGATGACCTGTTGGCCGCTCCGTCTGCTGCGGCTCCCGCTGCACCCCCTGCACCGGCCGCGCCTCCCTCTGCCGTGGCCCCCAGCGTTGGGGCTGGTGCGGGCGTGGGCTTCTTCACGCCGATCGCGGCTGAGCCCACGCCCGTTGATGGTGTTGCCGTCGCGTCGAGCGCGGCTGTTGCGTCCGTTGTTCCCGGTGTTGCTTCAGCCACCGGTGTCGGAGGTATTCCTGCGGCTGCGACGCCCATCTTCCCGCTGAACAACTCCACTAACGCTCAGGGAGGTGCTGGAGTTAGCTTGGTGCCTCTTGGCTCCGGCGGCATCGTTGCCGCCCCTACGGGCACGTTGAACGCGCTTCCTGGAAGCTTTGTTGCCTCGGAGCCCACCTCCTTGGCTGCGCTTCCCGGTTCCATTGACGCCGCCGCGCCGACCAGCCTGAACGCGCTTCCGGGCTCCTTCGACCCCGCTGCCTCGACCGACTTGAACGCTCTCCCCGGTGCTTCGGTCGACTCCAGCGCCCTGGGCGCTCTCCCCAGCAGTGCCGCCGACTCGCTCATCCCAGGCGGTTCGGTCGATTCCACCGCTGATGTAAACGGCCTGCAGCCTCTGCCGAGCGCATCCGCCGACGGCACCATCCCGGGCGGTGTTGCTGATTCCAGCTCTCTGCAACCTCTCCCAGGCTCTTTCGACGCGGCCTCGCCTACAAACTCACTTCAAGCCCTTCCTGGCTCTATTGACGGCGCTTCGGCCACGGGCTCCCTTCAGGCCCTTCCCGGTGCACCTACCACTGGTGCTCTCGCGCCTCCCGGCGGTGTTGCCGACATCTCGGGTTCGGGTGCCCTGGCCCCCCTCCCTACCGGCGCCTCGACCTTCTCGACTGTCGTCACCACCATCAACGGCGTTGTTCAGACAACCGCAGTGGCTGTGAACCTTCCTGGCGCTACCGGCACCGTCAACTCTGCTGGCACCACCCCAGTCGACGGAACATCAGGAGCGGGGAGCGTACGAGCCACCCTCATGGCCGCAGTGGCTGGCGCGATGGGTGCTATTATGATCATGCTGTGAGGGAGTTAACGTGTTGGATGGGTGTAAGACGCTAATTGGGTTATTATTTTCGATATGGGCCATCAGAGATGGCTATTTTGGGGCGGCGAGGCGAGAAAAGAGTCTCTTTACGTGTTTGATATCAGGCGTTGTTTTGGCTATGTTTGAAGAAAAGAGAGAGAGCTTGTTGTATATACCATTCAGTAGACAACACAAGACAAAGATGTAACTTGCAACTACACTGCCAGGTGAAGTGATTGCAGTTAGAAGAAAAGGGGCAATGTACATCGGGCTCCGCTTAGGAACCTGGAAAGGGGCAGCTTGGCGAACACGCAACCGCGATTACCATTGAAGCCCAGCTAAGTTGAATCTGTAGTATCTGGATTCTAGATACTCCAGTAGACTTTCTGGGCGCTACATCCATCTGAACGTCATGTAAAGATTCTCACAGCTTCAGGGGCTTTCGGTTGTGTGCCGAACCAGAGAATGAAATGGCCCATGGGGACAGCTATAGATTCCCCTCTATACTGAAGCCAAGAGAGATGTCCCGTCAATTCAAAACTCAGTGCTGTTTCGAAGACGTCAACGCCCAATGGGATACCATGGGAGTCCTCGGCCGGAAAGTAAGGAGAGAAGAGGGGGAAAATAGAGCAGAATAGGGAGAGCCATCTCAGTAATGTCCGGACTCGAATTTTTGGCCTCCTGATTTCCGTTTCCCACATATTCTCATACGTTTGTCAAAGAACTTAACTTCTAGGTTCAGGGCAAAAAGAAAATCGTGGACTTCATGCCCAATACTCCCTCGGTAAGGCTTGAACTTACAACCTCCGGATCACTGCTATTCCTGGGAGCTCGTGAGATTCCATAAGAATTAACAGTCCGACGCGCTATCCGGTTGCGCCACGAGGGATTTGATGTTTGTTCGTGCGATGTGGGCGTCATGATATTGGCCGCTCCGCTGATGTTGGACAGGATGTGGGGTTGCGGGGTAAACCCTGATCGGAGGAGGGGTTGGAGGGGTGGATATTGCTTTTGTTAGGCCCAAGAAAGTGAAAGTTTAAGGTACCAAAGTCAATTGAATGAAGATATACAACCTGGAAACAAGCTGCTGTTCCTAGCTGTCTCCTTGTTGTTGCACCTATCGGGCTATTGGTGTTGTGGAGACTCAAAAGGCTCACACCTCCTCACCCAACTGGAGGTACCCCACCTGACACGATTTCAGTCAGTACCTGACCCGAGATGAGCAGGAGCCCAACCGGTACATCATAGGCAACGAAAAGACTTGAAACGAAAAATGGGTAAGAAGGAAAAGAGCAAGTTCGAGACCAAAAAGGCCAAGTTGGCCGAGAAGAAACAAAAGCAGGAGAAAAAGGCAGAGAAAAAGGCCAAGGTCAAGGCTAAAGCCACCGAGGGCAGCGATGCCGAAGATGTCGATCTCGATGCCGTCCTGGAGGAATACCGCAAGCAACAAGAGCAATTTCTCAAGATCACCGAGACCGTAGCTGATGGCCCGCCCAGGGCGCGGGCGGCGTCCTGCTTCATGGCCAGTCCGGCGAACAGCAACCAGCTCCTGCTCTTCGGCGGAGAGTACTTCAACGGCGCTCTTGCGACCTTCTTCAACGATCTGATGATCTACTACATTGACCGCGACGAATGGCGGTGCGTCACCAGTCCCAACGCTCCCCTCCCCCGAAGTGGCCATGCCTGGACGCGCGCAGGGAACCAAGCGGGCTCGGTCTACCTCTTCGGTGGCGAGTTCAGCTCTCCAAAGCAGGGGACATTCTACCACTACAACGACTTTTGGCGACTGGAGCCGGCCACTCGCGAATGGACGCGCATCGAGGCCAAGGGCAAAACCCCACCAGCTCGGTCCGGCCACCGCATGACCTATTACAAGAACTACATCATCCTCTTCGGGGGCTTTCAAGACACCGCCAACCAGACAAAGTATCTCTCCGATCTCTGGCTTTACGACACACAAAACTTCGTCTGGCACACTCCGACTCTCCCGCCAGCTCAGCTCAAGCCCGACGCCCGGTCCTCCTTCACCCTCCTTCCCCATGACCAGGGCGCCGTTCTGTACGGAGGCTACAGCCGCGTCAAAGCCACCGTCGCCTCCGGAGGAAAGACCAAGTCCGGCGGTCAAGGTTCCCGCAACGTTCTCAAACCCATGATTCACCAAGACTGTTTCTTCCTTCGAATCACCCAGCCGCCAGCGGACGCGCCGCCAAACACGCCTCCCACCGTCCGCTGGGAAAAGCGCAAGAAGCCTGCCAACTCACCTAACCCCACCCGCGCCGGCGCTACCATGGCGTATCACAAGGGCCGCGGTATCATGTTTGGCGGTGTTCACGACGTGGAGGAGAGCGAAGAGGGTATTGAGAGCGAGTTCTTCAACCAGCTTTTTGCGTGGAACGTGGAGCGCAATCGGTTCTTCCCTCTTGCTCTGCGCAAACCGCGGGCTCAGAAGAAGGCCGGAGGTGGCGGTGGAGAGGGGAGGGCCGTTGGTGGGAGGAGGGGAAGGGCTCAAGCCAATGAAGAGGAACTTTTGAGGCAGTTGGCCGCGCTGCGGGCGGGTGGGTCGATTGAGGATGCGGATGAGATGGAGATTGATTCGAAGAAGGAGGAAGAGGAAGAGAAGAAGGTGGTGAGGGAGATGCCAGTTTCTATGGAACTGCCGCATGTGAGATTTAATGCGCAACTGGCGGTGCAGGATGATGTGTTGTACATCTATGGCGGGACGTTTGAGAAGGGGGATAGAGAATTTACGTTTGATGACCTCTACGCGGTGGATCTGGGGAAGCTGGATGGATGCAAGGAGATTTTCAACCGGCCGGTGGAGGATTGGATTGTAAGTTTGAGTGAGAGATTGGCGGCGTTATGGGTACTGACTAACCTTTTATGTAGGCGTCGGAGGATGAAGACGAGGATGAGGATGAAGACGACGAGGATGAGGACGATGAGGACGGGGAGGATGAAGACGGTGATGTTGAGATGGTTGATGAGGCGAAGGACAAGAAGTTCACGCCCAGTAAAAGAGGCAAAAAGACAATCGAGGAAACATCTGAAGCACCTAGTTCGTCGGTGGATGAAGAGGAAGAGACCGAGACGGTGGCTACATCGATGGACGATGGCCTGCCGCACCCAAGGGTAAGTCTACTTTCGGCCATGTCGAGGAGATTACATGGACTAACGTCATAAACAGCCGTTCGAATCACGCAGAGATTTCTTCCAGCGCACATCAGCAGAGTGGCAGGAAGTCCTCATGACCAGTCTGCGGTGGAAGAACATTCAGCCCGAGAGCTTGACCATCAAGGAAATCAAGGCCAAGGCGTTCGAAATGAGCGAGGAGAAGTGGTGGGACTGCAGAGAGGAGATTACGGCTTTGGAAGACGAGCAAGAGGCTGCAGGTATTGGAGAGGTTGTGTCTCTGGCCGACAGGGGCGAGTCTGGCACTGCTGGCGGAGGTGGACAGAGGAGAAGATAGGGGTCAGGGGCTACATATAACCCTAACATTCCGTATAATGGACATCTACCCTAACCCTTGTGCCAGTCATGTGATTCCGTGTTAACCTCCCGCCACCCTGCGCGATAGCTGCCTTGGCGCGTGGCGTCATAAGCTCTCATCGTGCAACTCATTGTCGTCTTCTCACCTTTCCCCAGATGAGTGTAAATACCATACAAAATGCCGCTCGGAATTCAGCGCCTCAACGCGAGAAAATCGCAGCCAAATGAACGGATTGTGTTCATCAAGCCACTCAAAGGCCCCGATGAAGCAATTGCCCAGGACTTCCTCGAGCGCATTGCCGCGCAATGTCGTGAGTGCCCCTCATCCCATTCCACACTCGACGATAACCGAATACTAACCCCTCATAAGTTCCCATCATGAAAGAAAATCACCTCTCCGTCATGTCCCTAGAGGAATACGAACCCAACGCCGAGTTCGTGGGGCGCAACTTCAACGCCGGCGAGGTCATCCAGCTAGTCCTCAAGGCGCGCTTCACAGGCCACTGGCTCCCCTTTGAATACGTCCAGATGGTCATGATGCACGAGTCTGTTGACCCCTGCCTCTCCGCTATTTTGTTTCGCTGACACCGCGGCCCAGACTCGCCCACTGCAAACAAATGAACCACTCCCGCGCCTTCTGGGCCGTCCGTAACCAATACGCGGACCGCATGCGCGAGCTCTGGAACCGCGGCTACACGGGCGAAGGCCTCTGGGGGCGCGGCGCGCTCCTCTCCACCGGTGAATTTGAGAGGAACAGCGTTCAACCGGGCGAAACTCTCCCGGAGCACCTATGCGGAGGGACGTACCGATCAAGAGGAAAGAAACGCAAAGCGAAGAAAGTGCTTTCGTATCAAGAGCAGAAGGAGAAGAGGATACTGAAGAAGTTTGGAGCGAACGGGGTTGCGTTGGGGGAGGATGTTGCGGCCAAGAGGAAGTTGGAGAAGGGGAGGAGGGTCGCGGCGAAGCCGAGGGTTGCGGGAAGTGCGAGGGGGAGGGAACTGAGAGCGGCGGCGGCGTTGGCGAGGTTTGACGAGCAAAAGAAAGAGGAGGTGGAGGTGGTGAAGGTTGATGATAGTGAGACGGAGAGTGGGAGTGAGGGGGAGTATGAGGATGATGAGGTGGAGATTGTGGACGCGGTTGATTTGAACGGGAAGAGATTGGTGGATGGGAAGGGGCGGGGGTTGATCAAGATTTGCGAAGATGAGAGCCCTGAGGATGCCGATGTGAAGAAGGAGTTGGAGGAGTTGCAGGGCTTCAGCTTGGTAAGGAGACCGAAAGCTGGGACTGGGTTGGCATCTTCAGGGATTGGCGGCAAAGGTTTGGAGAAAACAACTGACGTTACAGCGGGGGTCAGAGGAGACGGTGATAGGCAGAGCGGCATGACACGAACTGTTGATCAAAACCTATCTGGGAGTTCTACGACACAGAAGTCTAGCCGGACGATCTCTCCAGCACTGAAAAAAGAAGCGGAGCTGGCAGGAGCAAAGCCAACGGCACCGACGATATCAGACAAGCAACAAGGAAATTTGTCAACTGCCAAACAAGGAGGAAAACCGGAGGGGAAGTCATCGACAGCAAGACCAACGGTAGCGAGGCCACCGGAACCCAAAGACCCGCCTGCGATTCCAGGCGCAACCAACGTCGCTTGTCCAATCTGCTCTTTCGCCAACGACAGAATGGCACCAACATGCGGTATGTGTTCGAATGTTTTACGCATCAAGAGCATGCCTGGTGCCTGGGCTTGCGGGAGTCAGGCCTGTCGAGGGAGCATTTACAGGAACGCTGCAGATTGTGGCGTCTGCGGCGTTTGCGGAGAGCGCAAGACTGCCGTGCCGTAAATGTACAGCAGGAGGATGACAATATGACATGGACCGGCATGCGACTGTTGAGCAGTTTACCTGGATGATCAACGCGGGAATGTGTCCTGTTTGTTGGTTGCTTGCCGCTGGCAGGTGTCTTGAGTATAGTGAAGGATGCTGGTCAGCTCGGCGCCGAGGCGGTCAGTCAAGCACTGAAGGACCAGAGTTGCAGCGAGTGGCTTGGAAGCTCCGTGCCGCTCCCTACAACCCACATTTTCATGCTGATCAGAAGCCGTCAACGATGGATCTCCCTAGTGCATAGTAAGGTTATCTTACTGTACCGGCTTCCGCTTCAGACGAACAGCGTGGGTGATGCGAGAACTACAAGGAAGAAGCACTATTTGTACCTACTTTACCTACACAGGTCCTCGGAGAGAACGAGCATCACGACTTTTTTTGGGGGGGGGGAGAGGTGTCCGTTTGCTCCGGATGGTTACATTCTTGTATCACTTAAATAGAAACAGACCTGCCCTTCGGGATGCTGCTCCCGCTCACCTACACAGCAACTTGCAATGATGTCGGCCCGGGGTGAGTGATCTGGCCA